TGGTAGTGGTCTTCCCCCTCCTCATGCCTACCTCATAACGTGATAGCTGGCTTCTACCAAGCCCAAGTGAATCAAAGGAGAGAGAAAAAGAGAGCATACACGTGCACATAAGATAGAAGCCACAGTCTTTTTTTTTTTTTTTTTAAGATTTTATTTATTTATTTGACAGGGAGATAAAGAACACAAGTAGGCAGAGCGGCAGGCAGAGGGAGAGGGAGAAACAGGCTCTCTGCTGAGCAGGGAGCCCAAGGTGGGACTTGATCCCAGAACCCTGAGATCATGACCTGAGCCAAGGGCAGCTGATTAACCGACTAAGCCACCCAGTCACCCAGAAGCCACAGTCTTTCTAAAACCTAAATTGGAAATGATATCTCCTTACTGCTTCTGTATTCTGTTTGCTAAAAGTGATTCAGTAAGGCCTGCCCACTGACAATCAAATGGGAATTGAGCCCCACCTCTTAAGGGGAGAAGTGTCAAGTTATTGTCATAACTTTTACCCTTTGATTCAGAAACCCCACTTCCAAGAATATATTTCAAAGATGAATAAGCAAAAAAAAGGACCAAGAAAAGGTCAAAAGATTATTCAATACAATACTGTTTTTAATATTGTAATATTGTAAATACTAAAATAAGCTAAAAATACTATTTTTAGTATTGCAATGAGTAATCTTTTGGCCATGTTTTTAAAAGACAAACATCTACTAACAGAGGTCTGGTTGTATAAATAATGGTATACACATAAAACGTGTTATTCATCAGTAAGAAAAATCTCATAACTATATGGAGTGAAATTTAGGATATAATGTTATGGGGAAAAATAAAAATGGTTTATTACCACTTAGTTTTATAAAATATGAAAATGAATGAATATGTATACAGTCAAGTCCCATTATTCATTATAGTCATGTTCTATATAAAGTTGCTGCAAACAGAATTAGTGAATGCTGAAACATTGCTCCTAGGCAAAATATATAAATATATATTCACACACATATACATAAGACACATACACACATAATACATATGTATTACAGGGATTATAATCTTAAATTGCAATTTTGTAAATTTTACAACTTGTACAACTTTTACAACAACCTTAAAATCAATTCATCCTGGTAGATTCTACTTTCTTTATTTTACAAAAGAGAAAATGAAGTTCCGAAGTATTAAGTGACTTACCTGAGGTCACTCCACTTACAGGTGCCAGAATTGGATTTACCAGAGTGGCCCCAGCGCTGGAGTTTCTAACACTATATTACACTGCCCATGTTGTCTCCATCCTCTTGAAAGCTGGAACAAGAGAAGGAACATCCTCTCAGTTCAGCCTCACACGGAAATGTGTGCATGAGGCAACTCAAATGTTTCACTGTTCTGTGCATGTCTGCTATGACTACAAAAGTACCACATTGGTCTGGGGGTTATAGGTCAATTTTAGAAATTAGGTAAATTTGAAGATATGGCAAAATGAAGATCAACTGTATATATATTTACCCCAAAAATAAAAAGCAAATAATGGAAGAATAAATGATCAAAATAGTATCTGTAAAGAGTGCTGTTACTTATCTACTAATATGTGAACTTAACCCAAAACTTAGTGGCTTAAAACAATACATATTTTTTGTCTCTGTGTGTTGGGAATCTGGACATGGATTATCTGGGTCCTCTGCTTCAGGGTCTCCCATAAATCTATCATCAAGGTATTGGCCTAGGCTGGGGTCTCATCTGAAGGATCAAATGAGGAAAGATCCACTTCCAAGCTCAATGACATGATTGTTGGCAGAATGCACTGTCTCAAGGATTGTTGAATGAAGGGCATTCACATCCTTGCTGGCTGTTGGATGGAAGCTACACACAGTACTTTGCCATGCGTGACTCTCCAACCTGTGACTTATATATCTAATGAGGCAGGAGAAAGAGTCTGTAAGCAAGATGGAAGTCACAGTCTTTTAAAACCTAATCACAGAAGTAACACTCACCTTATGTTGCCATATTTTATTGGTTCAATGTTACTTATTCATATGGAGGGTATTGCAAAGGCTGTGAATATCAGGAGGTGGGAATCATTGCCCATAAAAGATACTGCCTACCACATGGAAGAAGAAAATAAGATAGAGGGGACAGAGATAGTATATAATATTCTTTGAATGTACATGTTCTGTTGATTTCACTTTAGAACCTCAAAAAAATTACAACATTCTGAAACAAAATTAGTTATAAAACAGCCCCAAAGTTCTACTTCTGGCCAAAGTGAAGTCACAAGGATTGGACTATACTTTCACCTGAAATAATGGAAAACCCAAATAAATGTATGAAACAATGGTTTTTAAGACATTGGATATCAGGCATTTAAGGACAGTGATCCTTAAAGATGGGAAACACATGAGGTAATCCCTTTTGATTGCTCAGTTTACTGCCTTGAGAAAATTTCTAGGACACAACACAGGGAAGGGGAGCACAGGCAAAGTTCAGCAGACTCTCAGAGTTGAGGAGAAAGAACCAACAGTAGAGACAGACCAAGGACGCTAGAGTCACAGAGTAGAAGACCAAAGAGAAAGCTGCCCCCAAAAGAAAACTCCAGAGACTTCCAGAGGGTCTACTTCTTATCAGAATATTGGTCAATGTATGTATATAAGGAAACTATCAAAGTTTGGGAAAATAAACACATGAAACGAAAGAGGAAACAGTAACTAGATCTCACAAAAAGACAAGATCAATGTCTGTTTCTACCAGCCAGACTGGAAAACTTTGCTATTCATGGAGCATTGGGAAGAGCACTCAAAATGTTCTGCCTCAGTACTGAAAGTAGTTAGCTCTACACTAAAATATTGCTCTGATGCCACCTAACAAATCAGATTTGAAAGAATCAAACTGTTTCCAAGCAACAATCATAGAGAAAGGTTTACAAAAAATGAGAATAAAAAGTAGCACCCAACATGGTAAAATTCACAATGTCTTGTGTCAAAACAATAATTATCAGACATGTAGGGATGCCTAGGTGGCTCAGTCAGTTAAGCATCTGCCTTCAGCTCAGGTCATGATCCTAGGGTTCTGGGATCGAGTCTCATATGGGACTCCCTGCTCAGAGGGGAGCCTGCTTCTCCCTCTGCCTTGCTACTCCCCCTGCTTGTGCTCTCTCTGACTCTCTCCCTCTGACAAATAAATAAATAAAACCTTAAAAAATAAATCAGACATGTATAGAAACTGGAAAATAATACTCATAATTAGGAAAAATTCCAAGGAAAAGAGATCAGAAATGAAAAACATATTGCAAATGTGTTAACAAGTTATTACAAGATCTTGCAGTCATTAAACGGATAATATTAAAATATTATTAACAACTTTAGCCTCATAAATCTGACCAGGTAGAAGAGATGGGCCACTTTCTCAGACACCAAAACTCAACCAAGATGAAATAGATAATCTGCATAGTCCAAATTAAAATTGACTCTTAAAGACCTTGCAAAAAGAAAAGACAGTTTTATTGGAGAATTCATCTAAATCTAAATAGCATCAATTTTACATAAACTCTTCCACAAAACAGAAGGGAATACAAGCCAAATCATTTTATCAGGAAATTATTACCAAAACCATACCAAGAGAGAAAACTACAGACCAATATGTCTCATGAACTTAGGCACAAAAATCCTTAACAAAATATTAGCAAACCAAATACAACAATCCATTAAAAGAATTATGCACTATGACAAAGTGGAATGTATTCCAGGTATGCAAAGCTGGCTCAAATTTGAAAATTAACCAATCACTGTAACCCATTTATCAACAAGATACAAAGAAAAAGTATGTAATTATATCAATCAACACAGAAAAATCATTTGACAAAAATCCAACACCATTCATAATAAACACTCAGCAAACTAATAACAGAAGGGAATTTCTTCAATTTGATAAAGAGCATGATAAAGAGCAACAAAAAAGAAGAAAAAAAACCCCACAGCAAATAATATTTAATGCACATTTCCCTTCTTAGATCAGGAACAAGGCAATAATGTTTCATCACACTACCCTAGTTCAACATAGTATTGGAAATTCTCCCCATTAAAATAACACAAGACAAAATTTGTAGTGATCAGAAAGAATAGAAATAAAACTGAAGTGAATGATGTTGGTCCTTTATAGAAAATCCAAAGGGATGTACCAAAATTAAGCCTAAAACTTAATATGTGAGTTCAGCAATAATAATATGTACAAGATACAAGAACATCAGTGTATAAAAATCAATCACATTTTGGGGGTGCCTGGGTGGCTCAGTCATTAAGTGCCTGCCTTCAGCTCAGGTCATGATCCCAGGGTCATGGGATCAAGTCCCACACTGGGCTCCCTGCTCAGCAAGGAGCTGAGCTCCCTCTCTAGCTGTCTCTGTCAAATAAATAAATAAAATCTTAAAAAAAAATCAATCACATTTCTATTCGCTAACAATAAGCATATGGAAATAGAAACATAGTATTTCAATCAGTACAAAGGGATCAAAATACTTGGTCTTGCACTTAACAAAACAAGTAAAGGATTTTTAGAAAGAAAATTACAAAATGTTGTTGAAAGAAATCAAATAAATGTAGAGATAAATTGTGTCCATTGAATTGAGGATTTATAAACTATAAAGAAGTTACTTCTTGGGGCGCCTGGGTGGCTCAGTGGGTTAAAGCCTCTGCCTTTGACTCAGGTCATGATCCCAGGGTCCTGGGATTGAGCCCCACATCAGGCTCTCTGCTCCCTGGGGAGCCTGCTTCCTCCTCTCTCTGCCTGCTTCTCTGCCTACTTGTGATCTCTGTCTGTCAAATAAATAAATAAATAAAAAAAAAAAAAAAAAAAAAGTTACTTCTCCAAACCGATGTATAGGTTTAATGCAATTTCTATTAAAATCACAGCAAGTTTTTGTTGTTTGTAAACTTAGACAAAGTTATTCTAAAATTTGATGGTAAAGAACAAGCTGTAGAATACTAAGACAATCTTAACAAAATAAAGAATAAAGTGGAAGGAACCATTCCCACAGTTTCTGTTCATCACTAGACTGGAAGTTTTAATCAGTGCAATAAAGCAAAAAGAAATGGAAGATGCCCAATTTGGAAAAGAAAAGGTAAACAATCTTTATTTATAGATGCATGATCTTTTATATAGAAAATCTGATGTATTTTACCACCAACAACAAAATGGCTACTATTACAATTAATTAGTAAGTTTAGAAATGTTGTAGTATACTAGATCAATAAACAGTGGTACTTCCATATACTATCAACAAATGATCAGACTAAAATTTAAAACATCTACAGAATTTCTTTTAAATAGGAAAGGCTTGGGGTAAGTCTGACAAAAAACATGAAACATCTGTACATTGAAAACAACTGAACATTGCAAATGGAAATGAAAGAATGATGTGCTTAAATAAAAGGACGATGTGCTCTTTATGTGTCATAACCCTCATTATTGTAAACCTCAAACTGACTTATAGATTCAGTGTAATCAATTTAAATAATGCAGCAAGCTTTTGAAAGGAAATTGACGAGATGATTCTTAAAATTCATATGGAAATGAAAAGGTCTAAGAATAGCCAAAATCCTTTACAAAACAAAAACAAAAACAAAAACTTGTCTGAAGATCTAATACTACCTGACCTCAAGATTTATTTTATACACAGCCACAATAATCAAGACAGTGTGGTGTTGCTGTAAAGATAGAAAAATAGATAGATGAAACAAAATGGACCAGAAATAGAGCCAACTGATATAATGACAAATTTCCAACAAAGGCATTTAGGTGGGAGGAAAAAGAGTGTTTTCAACAAATAATTAGGTATCTATATTTTATTTATTTTTAAAGATTTTATTTATTTAAACAACATACATTATAAAAATAATGAAAATCAATGAATCCAAGAATTGGTTCTTCAAAAAGCTCAACAAAATTGATAAACTTTAAGCTAGACTGACTTAGGAAAAAAGAGAAAAGATTCAAATAAAATCAGAAATTTTAAAAAGGCAATATAATGATTTTACAGAAATAAAAAAGATTATGAGAGTCCTATGAACAAATGTATACAAAAAAACTGGATAATCTAAATGAAATGGACAAATTCTTACAAACCCAAAACTTACCACTGCTGAATGAAAGAGAAGTAGAAAATCTGAATAGAACTAAAACTAGTAAGGAGATTGAATTAGTAATCAAAAACCTCCAAACAAATAACACTAACTATAACTACTGCTGGCACTGCTTCCCCCACATCAGAGGCCAAAGAGAGATATACATCATACCTCACTTGTCTTAAAGATAAAGAATTTGAATCCCAAAGAAAAGCAAGATCTAGAAAATCAAAACAGTCTAGAAGATCAATGCAGGGGGTGACACTGAAGAGGCTGAAAAACATTAAGAAGTTGTTCTACCAGAACCAGAGAACAAGAATGAAGAAAAACGGGATAAAGAGAATCAAGGAGAAAAGGAGTCAGGAAGGTCCAGAGAAGATGAATATAAACAAAGGTACTTCTGAACATATGAGGAGACTTATGCGTTACAGACCGGATTCAACTTCAAGTTCAACCATTCTGTCCTCTTCATAGTCTACCATGAACAGCTCACTCTGTGCTTCAAGTCAACTAAACAAGCCAAACAGTCCTGTAAGTGTAACTTCTGCTTACTCCAGAGTATTAATAAGGGAAAATTGAAAGAGAGGGAGAAAAAAAAAAAAAAAGGAAAAAGGAGAAGATAAATTACAACCTAAATCATTCACAGAATAATGGTGACAAGGAGAAATAAGATCTATGGAAGCTTCATATTGTAAATAAGACAGCAATGAAAATGAACAAGAACAATAATCATATAGAAAAGGGATCCAAATAAAAAAAAAACTGAGATTCCATTTGTAGATAAGAAACCCATCCCGCATCAGCTAGGTGATCAGTATGATGCCTTGCTGGGATGCTTTGGAGCAAACAGTTTCTCAAAAGAAAGAAAATCTTAGAGTAGCAGGTTAAAAAAGGATTGATTCCAGACTATAAGAACCCTTGTGAACAAATTCTAGCTGAAAAGAAAAAGCTTAAAACATAGCTACATGAGGCAAATATGGAATCTTGAATAGGATCAACGTGACAAGATGAAAAAAGATATTCCAAGCAAATGGAAACCAAAAGTGATCAAAAGTAGCTATACTTATATCAGACAAAATACACTTTTAAGTTAAAAACTGTAACAGAGCCCAAAAAAATCACTATGTATTGATAAAGGGATCAAGTCTTAAAGAATATATAACAGTTATATATATACATCCAATACCAGAGCACTTAAATGTATTAAGCAAATACAGGTCTGAAATACAATCATAACAGAAGACTTTGGCGCCCTATTTGCAACAACAGATTGATCAGGAAGACAGAAAAATCAATAAGGGACCACTACACTTTAGATCCATTGGACCTAGCAGACATATGCAAAACATTGCATCCAACAGCAGCAAAATACCCTTCTCAAGGGCACACAGAACATTCTCCAGGATAGATCATATGGTAGATCACAAACAAGTCTGAGCAAATTTAAGAACACTGAAATCATACCAAGTATGTTTTCTGACCACAATGGTATGAAACTAGAAAATAACAAAGAAAACTGAAAGCTCACAAATATGTGGAAATTTAACATATACCTGAACAACCAAGATATTTTAAAAGTACCTTGAAAACAAATGAAAATGGAAACACAACTTACCAAACCCTACTGGATGTAGCAAAAGCAGTTCTAAGCAGGTAGTTTACAGTGATAAATGCCTACACTAAGAAACAAAGATCTCAAATAAACAACCAAATTTACACCTCAAAGCCATAGAAAAAGAAAAATAAGCCAAAAGTTAGCAGAATAAAGAAAATAATAAAGATCAGAGCAGAAATAAATGAAATAGAGACCAGAAAAACAACAGAAAAAGGTAATGAAACTAAAAAGCTGTTTTTTTTTTTTTAAAAGATGAGCAAAATTAACACACCATCAGTCACACTAAGGAAAAAGGAGAGAGGAATCAAGTAAAATTAGAAATGAAAGAGGAGATATTACAACTGATACCACAGAAATACAATGATCATAACGTGACTTTGAACAATTATGCTAACAAACTGGATACTCGAGAAGAAATAAATTCCTAGAAACATACAACATATGAAACTGAAATCATTCATAGAAAATCTTTTTTTTTTAAGATTTTATTTATTTATTTGACAAACAGAGATCACAAGTAGGCAGAGAGGCAGACAGAGGGAGAGGGAGAGGAAGCAGGCTCCCCGCTGAGCAGAGAGCCCGACTCGGGGCTCGATCCCAGGACCCCGGGACCCCGGGACCACGACCCGAGCTGAAGGCAGAGGCTTCAACCCACTGAGCCACCCAGGCGCCCCCATTCATAGAAAATCTTAACAGACCAATAATGAGTAAGAGGCTGAATCAGTAATCAAAAACATCTCAACAAAGAAAAGCCCAGGATCAGATAGTTTGATTGGTGAATTCCACCAAGTATTTAAAGAATTAACAACAATCCTACTTAAACTCCAAAAATACTGAAGAAGGGAACACTCCAAATTCATTTTACAAGGCCAGCATTACTTTGACACCAAAGCCAGATAAGGGCACTACAGGAAAAGTCCAACATTATTGATGAATATAAATGCAAAATTCTCAAAAAAATGCAAGCCCACAGAATTCAACAGCACATTTAAAGGGTCATACACCATGACCACCTGGGATGCAAGGACGTTTCAACATATACAAATTAATAGGAGTAATTCACCATATTAACAGAATAAAGGATAAAAAAATCATCTCAACACATTGCAGAAAAATCAAGTATCAAAAATTCAATGCCCTTTCATGATAAAAATTCTCAACAAATTAGTCACAGAAAGAACGTACCTCCACATAATGAAGGCAACATATGGCACGCTCGCAGCTAACATCATAATCAGTGGTGAAGAAAGCTCTTCCTCTAAGATCAAGAACAATACAAGGATGCCCATTATTGCCCCTTCTCTTCAACACTGTACTGGAAATACATGTTTCTAGACATGATGTATTTTTCATGATACTGTAACTGATAGCTTTACATTTTCATTTTATATCTAATGCATAAACTTTATTTTTAAAAACTTTATTTTTAGAAACATTGCTACTTCCTATTTCTAATAATAACCTATACATTTTCATCTCTACGCATATAATTTTACCAACAAATAATGCGTTTTATTGCTTTCCAATCATTATACCAACTTTTTTTCTTCCCTGCTTTCCCTGACTAGGTCTTTCAATGCAATGTTGAATAAAACTGGTGAGAATGAACATTATCTTTTTTCCAGACTATAGAGGGAAATTTTCCGATACACTAATAGGTATTAAATTTTGCTATATTTTATGGCAATATATAGTACGTATTATATCCTATCAGATCAGTGAGGTTCCCTGGAAGGTGAAAAGGCAAAATGGAAGGCTCATGAGAAGATAAGAACTCTTGAATCTTTATTTTCCTCACACAATTTCCATAACTGTTACTATATTATCATTTCCTTCTCACAACATTTCTGTATGTTCCTGAGACCCTGATTTTCCAATGCTTCCGTAAGGGCCAGGTGGGACCAACAGCCATCAAGACCTCTCAAAGCAGATCACTCCATGGTACATGCCTGAATGTTTTATTTCCCAGGTCCAAATGGCCAATCATATCCAATATCAATCACTGTTATTTATAATGACACAGAGAATTTTCTCATACACATTCGCACATCTTTTTAAGCATGCCATGTCCTCTGCAGAGGTTCCCATACAGAGTCTTAAACTTCTCATAGTAAACACCGGGGTCCTGCGGAGAAAGAGCAGCTAAGCAGGACATATGAAGGAATCAAGTAGGAACTTTCTTGCAGAAATCATATTTAGCCACACATCCTTGCTACATAGGACTTTTCCTCATCAAGATGCTTTCCTAAAGATTCTTATGAGAGAAGAGTTGGGCCCACAACAAAGAATGAGAAACATTTTAGAGATAGCAGGTGGGATTTTTATGTCCTGATTCATACCTGCCCATGTAGGCTACCCCAGGCATGTCTTCCACATTCCCTGTGGATTTTTCCCTGAGGGCCATTCAATTCTTAGGAAAAAGAACGGTTGCTTCTGAGAAAGGGTAAAACAGGATCTGTGATGGTATCACACAGGATCTTTATGTGCAAACACCATAACTTACATGTATTTGCAAAATAAAATAAAAAGTGAGGTCTCTACAACAGTATGAGTTAGGCCACCAGACACAAGAGCAGTGTTAATGGAAAAAAGACGGAAAAAGAAATCAGGGAATCAAAAACACAGTGTCTGGAATGCAAATCAAATTTAAAGGTATATACCTGGGTATTAGCAACCTCCTGCAAAAGAACAGACAGGGAAGATAAGGGGACAAATACAAACTAAAAACATGTTCTCTGCCAGAATATTATACATAGATGAGGGAACGGATACTGCGGCTGAAAAAAGGTTTCCCTGAAGTTACACAATCGGTGAATAGTGGAATAAGCATTAAAACCCATGACCATCTATGTCTTTCCAACACGCCAAGCTCCTAGACAGGAAGAGTAAAAGAAAGAAATAGCAAGAAGTGTCAATTCCAAGATCCTGGGTCCATCCATGGACACAGATCAACTTATATTCTTGAAATGAAACAAACAACCAAAGAGACTACGTTTATTAGACCTTATCAACCCGTCTTTCCATCCATCTACAAGAATAATTTTACAGGTACCTTTAGAAATGACAATCAAATTCTTCCCCCAGGCTCAGTTTCAAGGTCATGGCTTCTTCTGACTCAAGCTTTCTTCATGTCCTCTGTGGGGAATTACTGCACAGCCATAATTATGCTAAGTTAACATTAACAATATTATCACATATCCAATTCTTATTATATAACATAAATACGTAACTTCAAAATAAACTATATATGTAACTTGTGATATTAATCATTCAGTTCACAAGTTCAAAAGTCTTCCATGTCATAGTGAAAATACCCATTATTTATATAACTGAGATGTCTGTATTATTGCTGATAAAAAAATTAAATACATTAGGAACTTTATCAGTAAAGATGTTCCCAAACTCATTGAAATCCATGGGTTTTGTGTCATTTTTAAGGCTTGAGAAAATACTGAAGAAGATTTTATCTGTGCTTAATACATTCTTATGATTTTACCACTGTATGAATTCTCTGGTGTACAGTGAGTTGTGACTTCTGGATGAATGCTTTACCACAGATAGTACACTGATAGGGTTTCTCCCCAGTATGAATTCTCCGATGTACAACAAGGTCTGATTTTTGGGAAAAGGCCTTTCCACACTCAGCACACACGTAAGGTTTCTCTCCCGTATGAATGCGCTGATGCCCCGGGAGGTGGGACTTCTGAGAGAAGGCTTTCCCACATTCACTGCATATATAAGGTTTTTCACCTGTGTGAATTCTCTGATGTCCAATGAGATGTGACTGCTGACAGAAGGCTTTTCCACACTCGCTGCATTTGTAGGGTTTCTCTCCAGTATGTGTTCTCTGATGTATAATGAGCTGTGACTTCCGGGAGAAGGTCTTCCCACATTCAGTACATTCATAAGGTTTCTCCCCAGTATGAATTATCTGATGTATAATGAGTTCTGACTTTCTGCTGAAGGCTTCCTCACATTGAGCACATTTGTAGGGTTTCTCCCCAGTGTGAATTCTTTTATGTATAATGAGGTGGGATTTCTCACAGAAGGCTTTCCCACATTCAGTACATTCATATGGCTTCTCTCCAGTATGAGCTCTATGATGTATAATCAGCTGTGACTTCTGGGAGAAGGCCTTCCCACATTGATTACATTCATAAGGTTTCTCTCCAGTGTGAATTCTCTGATGTATAATGAGGGGGGATTTCTGGGAGAAGGCTTTCCCACAGTCATTACATTCATATGGTTTTTCCCCAGAATGAACTCTCTGATGTATAATGAGGGATGATTTTTGAGAGAAAGCTTTTCCACATTCAGAACATTCATAAGGCTTCTCCCCAGTATGAGTTCTCTGATGTACAATGAGATGTGACTTCTCACTGAAGGCTTTCCCACATGCACCACAATCATATGGTTTCTCTCCAGTATGAATTCTTTGATGTATTATGAGTTGTGACTTTTTTAGAAAAGATTTTCCACATTCAATGCATACACAGGTCTTCTCTCCAGTTTCAACATTCAAATATTGAATAAGAGATTGTTTATTGCTGATAATCTTTCCACATTGACGATCTTCACAGTGTTTCACCCCATTATGAATTTTTTCATGCTTAGAATAGGAAGAAATAGGTGTACTCCCACACCCAAAATTCTCACTTGCATAACCCCTATTACAACTGAATAACTTTACATTAGGTTCCAAGCTCTTTTCAAATGAGTCACGGTCATACCGTCCTTGTCTTGAAGCATCTAGGTCTGCGTAGTCATGAAATATTTTTCCTAACGTCTTATATGAATAGCCTGACTCTTCAGAAACTGTTTTGTTTTTGATGACCATGACTTGCCTGAGAAGTCTGTCTTGATTTTCCGCATCTCTCTCCAGATGGTCATCACCCTGCCAGACCTTAAAAATGGAGTACAATGAATGCTCCCTTGTCACATTTGCCAATATCTCCTTATGGAAGGAAACACCTCCAGGTATATCCAACTGAGGATTTTCAAGTCTAGTCTCCCTCTCTGAAAGAATAAAAAAAAAAAAAAAATCAAACAGATAAAAAGATTTAGTAGAGGACAAAAGATGTAAAAACAAATGGATGATATATGATGGTCCAGAAGACAGAGAACTGGGAGGGCAATAGGCCATTTGAAAATGTAAATTTATCACTAGTAATTAAAGATGGACTTTACTTCCAGTAGTGATGGCTGAGGTAGTTGAGGAATTCTGCTCCCAAAAAAACCAAGTACAAAAACAAATAAAATAAAAAAGCAACTAATTTAGGGCACTGAAAAACTATTAGCAGGAGGTAATAAGCTGAAAAATGCTTACTCACCAGAAACTTCTACTTCATTATGTAAGAATGGGGAGCTAGCATTCTTTCTCAGGGTTTTCCCATCTCCCATCCCTAGTTTATGGGGCATTAAAAGATAGCACAAATCCACAGGATACAGCTTAATGCTGTTAGTAAGAGTAGCAAGAAATATAACAGGAATTTGGAACCAAAAGAGTCATAAAAGGTTGAGATAATACCATCCATATACCTCCACCTGACCACTAAAAGATCTGTAAAAAGATATTCTAGAGAGCCCAACAGTAATTGAAAATTTGGAGAGTCTTGCAAATTTGCTATACTTGTAAAGTGTTCTGAAACATGCACTACTCGGGCAGCAAACAGTGAAAGCCACGCTTGTGTTTGATGTCTCATACAACCTCTGCCCAAATCACTAGCTTACCTCTACCTTATCCAAAGGTGGAGGGGAGTCTCTTAGAGAGCCAGACTTAAACAACCAAGAACTAAAGAGAGCCATCAGCAATGACACTCTATAGGACAAAAAGATTTCAGTTTAAGCCTAAGCAAGTTAAATGCCTCTAAGACAAAACAGAAACCCTTAAAAGGATCAGAAGAATCCACACTACAACATATCATCTACAATGTAGCATTTTCAACCAAAAATTACTAGACATATAAAGAAACAGAAAACTGGTCTAAACTAAGGAATAAAATCAGTCAATAGAAAATGACTCTATGTGGGTACAAATGCTATATTTTGTAAATAAAGATCCCAAAGAAGCTATTATAAACATATTAAAGAACTTAAAGGAAAAGATTGCTAGGCAATGAGTGAACAAATATGTAATTTTAGAAGAGGAAAAAAGCATATAAAGAAACTAGTTTCTATAAAGAGTCAGGAAGAGGAAATTTTGACTATTAGAACTCTTTTGTATCATGATTGTGGTAGTAGTTAACTTACTCTATGCCCAACATTTATTTTGTGTAAGTTAAAACATAAAAGAACCAAATGAAAATTCTAAGGCTGAAATTAAAATTTCACCAGATGGGCTTATTAGATTTGAGAAAGCAGAAAGCAAAAAAAGAGAACTACAGGCCAATATCTCTGGTGAACATAGATGAGAAAATCCTCAACAAAATATTAGCAAACCAAATCCAACAATACATTAAAAAATTTATTCACTATGATCAAGTAGGATTTATTCCATATGCAAGATGGTTTAATATTTGCCAAAAAGTTAATTGATATGTCATATCAGTAAGAAAAAGGATAAAGCCAAGTGATCATTTCAATAGATGTAGAAAAAGCATTTGACAAAGTATAACATATATTCATGATAAAAACCCTCAAAAAATTAGGTGCAGAGGGCACATACCTCAATATAATAAAGTCCATATATGAAAAACCCATAGCTAACATCATACTCAATGAGCAAAAGCTCTCAGGTCAGGAACAAGACAAGGATGCCCGCTTTTATTCCATATTACTGGAAGTCCTAGCCACAGCAATAGGACAAGAAGAAATAAAAGGCATCCAAACTGGTAAGGAAGAAGTAAGACCTCCACTATTTGCAGATGACATGATACCACATTTAGAAAACCCTAAAGATGCCACCAAAAAACTGCTGGAACTGATAAATTAATTCAGCAAGGTCACAGAATACAACATCAATGTACAGAAATTTATTACATTTCTATACATTAATAATGAAGCAGCTAAAAGAAAAATTAACAATCTCATTTACAACTGTACCAAAAATAATAAAATACCTAAGAATAAACTTAACCAAAGAGGTAAAAGACCTGTATTCTGAAAACTATAAAACACTGATGAAAGAAATTATAGATAACACAAACAGAAAGACATTCCATGCTCATTGATTGGAAGAACAAATATTGTTAAAATGTCTATATTACCCAAAGCCATCCACTCATTTAAGGCAATCCCTACCAAAATGCCAACAGCATTTTTCACAGAACTAGAACAAATAATCCTAAAATTTGTATGGAACCACAAAAGATCCAGAATAGCCAAAGAAATCTTGAAAAAGAAAAACAAAACCAGAGGCATCACAATTCCAGACTTCATTTATACTACAAAACTGCAGTAATCAAAACAATATGGTCCTGGTACAAAAACAGACACATGGATCAAAAGAACAGAATAGGGAGCTCAGATATAAACCCACAGTTCTACGGTCAATTAATCTTCAACAAAAGAGGCAAGAATATGCAATGGGAAAGACATCATTCCAACAAATGGTGTTGGGAAAACTGGACACCTATATGCAAAAGAATGAAAAAGGACCACTTTCTTACACCTTACGTAAAAGTAAACTCAAAATGGATTAAGGACCTAAATGAGAACTGAAACCATAAAAATCCTAAAAGAGAGTATAGGGAATAATTTCTCTGACATCAGCCCTAACAACATCTTTTTAGATGTGTCTCTTGAGGCAAGGCAATCAAAAAGCAAAAATAAACTATTGAGACTGCATCAAAATAAAAAGCTTTTGCACAGCAAAGAAAACCAGTAAAACTAAAAGACCACCTTGGAATGGGAGAAGATATTTGCAAATGACACATCTGGTAGATGGTTAGTATCCAAAATATATAAGGAACTTATACAACTCAATACCCAAAAATCAAATAATATAATTAAAAATGGGCAGAAGACATGAACAGACATATCTCCAAAGAAGACATCCAGATGGCCAATAGACACAGAAAACATGCTCAACATCACTCATCATCAGGGAAATGCAAATCAAAACCAAAATGAGATAGCACCTCACACATGTCACAATGGCTAAAATCAAAAACTCAAGAAACAACAAGTGTTGGTGAGGATGTGGAGAAAAGAGAGCACTTGCGCACTGTTGGTGGGAATGCAAACTGGTGCAGCCACTGTGGAAGTCAGTATGGAGGTTCCTCAAAAAATTAAAAGCAGAACTACCCAATGATCCAGTAATCATATTACTGGGTATTTACCCCCAAAATACAAAAACACTAACTCAAAGGGATACATGCACCCCTATGTTTATTGCAGCATTATTTACAATAGCCAAATTATGGAAGTGTCCATCAACAGATGAATGGATAAAGATGTGGTATACATATACACATATATTATTCGGCCATCAGAATATTGAATTCTTAGGAATTTTATCATTCATCCATAAGAAAGAATGAAATCTTGCCATTTGCAACAACAAGGATGGATCTAGAGAGTAGAATACTAAATGAAATAAGCCAGTCAGAGAAATACCATTTGATTTCACTCCTATGTAGAATTTAAGAAACAAAACAAATGAACAAAGGAAGAAACTAACAAAAAAGAGACAAACCAAAAAACAGACTCAACTACAGAGAACAAACAGAGGGGAGGTGGGTGAGGGGGTAGGTGAGGGGATGGGTGACTCAGGTGAAGGGGATTAAGAGCTCACTTATCTTGATGAGCACTGAGAAATATACAGAATTGCTGAACTGCTATACTGTACACCTGAAACTAATACAACACTGTATTTACATATAGTGGTATTAAAGAAAATAAATTAAAACTCATGTCCTAATCAAAATAAAAGTCAATCAATAGTGCTGGAACACATGGACTGCCACAAGCAAAAGAAGGGAGTTGGACACTTACTTCACACCATGTGCAAAAATTAACTCAAAGACCTAAATGTAAGAGCACTGACAGTATAAAACTTCTCGAAAACAAACTTGGGGTAAATCTTCATGACCTTGGATTTGGCAACAGATTCTTGGATACGATACCAAAGCACAGGAAAACAAAAGAAAAATAGAAAAACCGGACTTTCTGGAGTTCCATGTAAGTTCTGCGTAAGAATTTTACCTCTATAAAGAATTCTTACAATTCTATAATAAAAAGACAAATAATTCAAAATAGACAAAGTCTCTCAATAGACTATTTTCTGAAGAAGATACATAATGGCCAACAAGCAGATAAAAATACACTCAACATAATTAGTCATTACAGATGATTTTAGTTAAACCCAGAGTTCCCATATGACCCAGCAGTTCCACTTCTACCAAAGAAGAAGTAAAACATACACCTACACAAGAACTTGCACATGAATGCTTATAGCAGCATTATTCATGTTTCCAAAAGGTGGACACAAGCCAAATATCCACTAACTGATGAATGGATACTAAATGTAGTGTATCCACACAATGGAGTATTATTCAGCCAAAAAAGAAACAAAGTATGGATACATACTATAACGTGATAACCCTCAGAAACAGCATGCTAACTGAAAGAAGCCAGTCACAAAAGATCACAAAGATCACATATTTTACAATTTCGTTTAAATAAAATATCAAGAGTAGGTAAATCAATAGTGAAAGCAGATTAGTGGTTGCTTAGGGCTGGAGATGCGGAGCAGGGGTGTGGTAGCAAAAGGGTACGGGATTTCTTTTGTAGGTGATAAAATGTTTTAAAATTGACTGTAGCAATCGTTTCACATATCTGCAAATATGATAAAACCACTACATTGTTAACTTTGAATGGGTGAATTGTAAGGCATGTGAGTTAGATCTCAAAGTTGTATAAATAAAATAGTAGAAAATTCAGAGTACAGCTACAGTATGGACTTTAACTATCCATATTCACACTGTGTATCCATGCTTATATCCCTTTAGTCCCCAAATAAATAGTTTTTATTGAAGGCAAGCCTAGCAAATTTCTGCAGAAAAGCCACAATGATTCCTAACTCCAAGAATTTGTACACACCATTGCCTGAGCTTGCCTTCACCCTCCTCTTGCCTAACCCACACTTCAAATATACTTCAGAGTAGCTGGTTCTTGTTTGGAAAACATGCCTTCTTAAGTTATGCCACATCTCTTTAGGCTATAATTTTCAGGAAATCCTAAAACATTAATTATATTGGTGGTACGATTTTATGCAGCCATGAACTCTGATGTCTTGTCTTTCCATGTAAAACCTGTGGTCCTGAAAAGCATCTGACTTCTATTGCCTTTGAATTTCTTCCAGAAAGCCACTAAAGATATAATTGTTGAGTGAATCAGAAAGAAATTTTTCTTCTCTTTATGGCTCACTATTACTTAATTAATAAGTTGTTGAATACTTACTACATACTCAGCACAGGAGCAAGAAGGAACAGGAGCAGCCAATCTGGTTGGAAGCATAAATCTCAGCCACCCACCAATTAAAATCAAAAACAAAGAAACTGAGATTTCACTTCCCTTGACTCCTACCTGCCAGCTTTTTACCTGGATAGATCCAACTTGGTATATCTCTTTTTACAATCCATGGCTCTTGTCCTTGTTCCAACTTGGAGATGACATCTGGTTTGGACATTGGATGCCCTATTATGGAGAAATCAGAGAGGAACTCGGTTGACTACACGGAAGAAAAAAAAGAAAGGGCTCTAGGCACCTGGGTGGTTCAGTCGGTCAATGTGCCCGACTCTGGATCTCAGCTCAGCTCAGCTCAGCTCTTGATCTCAGGGTCCTGAGTCAAGCCCTACATTTAAAAAAAAAAAAAAAAAAGTGCTATTTTAGGAGCCCCACAATGAAGCTGTCCAGCTGGCTCTCGGCGGCAGAGCACAGACCTTCTGCTGGAGAAAAAAAGAGAGCACAAAGTCAGTCATTACCTATGCCAGGAACCCACCCAACTTGATCAAAGGAGAAGAGAGAGGCACTGGATTGGGAATTGTTGTGATATGGGGGAAGCCATCCTTACCCAATGAGACCAGGTGGCTGAAGTTCTCCAGCATCACATCTCTATACAGGGTCCTCTGAGCGCGGTCCAGTTGCTGCCACTCCTCCTTGGTGAAAGCGATAGCCACATCCTCAAATGACAACGGACCCTATAACAGCACGTTCCTGTTCAATCTGAAGTGATCGTTCTTATTTTTACTATAGCATGCCAAATCATATGCCCAGTTCTACACCATGCCTATTCAGAAAAATGACGTAAAATTCTGTCTTTAGCAAGAGGAATCAAACACATTTGAAGAATAGAAGAGCAAAGAGGCTTAATCACAAATGGGAATTCAATAAAGGCAGCATTTCAAATAAATGTATTCAACAAGTGGTTCTGGGAACACTGGACAGTCAATCAGTTCAGTAATAAAGTTGAAACTTCATGTTTTAAAAACAAGAGAATCAATGACTTCCAGAGGGAGAAAAAAAAATCTAAGCATCACAAATTATTAATACTGGTTATCCCAGGAGAAAGGGAATGCTGAGGGTTCCTTTCACTTTATAATTTTTATTTTTTGTATTTTTCAATGTTTTTTTTTAATGCTTTTACCAAGTAGGGATAATTCAAGCCAAGACAAAATATAGCAAAATGATTTTATAAATTGAAAAAAATGAACCAAACTGGCATTCAGTTGCGGAGTACCTTCACAAACCGTGGGACCATAGCAAAGGCTACACAGAATCAGAGACCCCGGCACTCCCAAGTGTTTGCCACTGAATTTTAAGTAAAGAACTGACTACTTGAAAGAAAGAAATCATTCCCCCTTTTCTAGGTTTTATCTCTGGATAAACTATACGTTAGTTCCCCCAAAGAATAATGCTTATAGAATTCAGCTCTAACTTTATGCTGACTGCCTTCTAAAAAAAATTTTTTTTAAAGACACAACCACAAAAAATCTGACACACTTATGCAGAAGTATAGGTCAGGACATCATCTACAGAAGATCCCCCAAAATAAATTTCTTTTTGTCTTAATGGCAAGAAATATTTTCATTGAAAATTCAGTTGATTTTATTTGTGGAGAATGCCAAATCATGTATATGATATCCTCTATCTCTCCACTGTGGCTGCTACATAAGACTGAATAAATTTGACTTTATTTTTTTCAAATTTGCACTTTAATTTTTACACACTTATATAAAATACATAATATAGATATGGATTATATTTATATAAAACATACATATAACAAACATATACATGAACTATAATAGTTGCTTTATGTGGCTTAAAACCACATAAATGTACATAGTACATAGCAACTCATTCCAAGTCTTTGCTCTACCTTTTCCCTAATTCTGATTTCTAGCTTTCTGCACTTTTCCATTTGACTATATGGAAATCAAGTACAAAATAAGCAAGCAACTTACGTGAGACTTGGTCATTTTCTGCTTCTCTTCCAAAAAAGCAGAGGTCTGAGGAATCAGGATTGAAAGACTAAGTCTCCAGGAGCCATTTACCAGTCTAGAAACAACCACCACCAGAAGTCAGATGGAAATCAGGTCACCTTGTAGAAGGTCATTTGATCCTTATAGAAGGGTCTATAAGCACCACGTGAAAAAGTCCTCTTGTAATATGATTACATAGATCTTGTACAAGGTGTATTTTTTTTTAATTTTTTATTTTTTAAAAGATTTTATTTATTTATTTAACAGACAGAGATCACAAGTAGGCAGAGCAGCAGGCAGAGAGAGACGGGGAAGCAGGCTCCCCACTGAGCAGAGAGCCCGATGCGGGGCTCAATTCCAGGACACTGAGACCATGACCTAAGCCAAAGGCAGAGGCTTAACCCACTGAGCTACCCAGGCTTCCCTACAAGGTGTATTTTTAATTGGATGAATGCAGATATTTCTGTTAATACACAAACACCTTATTGTTCCCCTTTGAACCAGCAGTTCTATTTGTAATTCTATCTGTAAGACTCTACCATAAGACAATAATCATGTATACATATGTATGGAAGATTTAACTACAGATGGGGCAGTTCCCTGACAATAAGAATAGGAATGATCAAGTAGAAAACTGAGAACCATATTCCCTAGACACAAGCAGCTGGCAAAATCCTAAGAGCTCTTTTACATTTTCCCCTAATCTAGCAAATTCTCTTGCTAAGTCAATATTCATAGATTAAAACTGTTGACTTTGTTGATTTTAACATGTTTTTGTTTAAGTTTGTATTGCTGATATTCAACAGTGCAGTCATCTATGTAAGAAAATAGTGTCACAGAACCATAGATGAACAGGAATATACGACAATGCAGAAAGATACTTACCTGGTAAATTCTTCTCAGTCCCAGAATGGGTCATGCAGAGAAGGCTGAACTCATTCACAGGAAGTGAGTACTCCCATGAAAGGCAGACCGTTTCCTATGGGGTTATCCCAGGCTGTGTCAAAATAAACCTGGAAGGAAACAATCCAATAGTCATACTCCTCTTTGGACACCAAGCTCTGAAACAAGTAAAAAGCAGGGGTTTAATAAATGTCTGCAGAACACTTTCAATAAACAGGAAGACACGGGACTGAAATTACACCTCATATAAGAAAAGAGGAAGAAAAAAAGCAGCCCTCACATTTCAGAGCTGGCCTGACCCTCAAATTTTCCTCTTTAAGTTAATTACACAGAACATCAGACAAGGTCACTCTGTGACCGTGATAGAATAAGACAAAAACAAGACCTCCCTGAAATCATGTCTGAACACAGACAGACGAAGCATCAACATTGTCCAATACACAGAACAACCCCTCTCCGAGTTAATATGAGTGACTACGACTTCCTCACCTATTACAGCTTTACCGTCAGGATAGTCTCCTCACCCTAGATATTTGAAATCCCCCATCACTGAATTACCCCACTTCTCTCAATATCTAATTCAGAGCAAGGTCCACCCCCTTAGGCCCTCCTCAAAATCACCTAACACAAGGATAAGTCCTATAAGAAGTTCTAACGCTGTCTTACCAGAAGCTCCCCTCCCCCGCCCCGCCCCGCCGTTTTCTCCATGGTGTACCGGTTCCCAGCTAGGTGCTAGAGCCATAAACCCAACTTAATCAACTACAGGGTGTTCCGAGGGAATTGACAATAATAAGGTTAATCCTTTAGATTTGTTTGGTCTTATATCTAAAGAATGTTTTCTTCTATAAGGACGTGAGTGATGGAGGGAGATGGAGGTTTGAGAAAACATCTGAGGAGGTGCTTCAACGTGGGGGCGGCCTCTGACCTGCAGAAATTGTAAAGTGAGGTGTTTCCTACTAAACTAGAGCTGACCCTTACCAGTCTCTGGCTGCATTATCGACTCCCAACAAATCACTGAATCACCAGGTGCAGAAATCACAAATCCCAAAGAGCACCTCCACGGAACCCCGATCACAAGACTGGCCATACAGGTCCACAAATCACTGGCACACGGGATACTCCAACACCTGCATCCCCGACCCACAGATCATACTGCTCTCCCTATTACTGACCCCTTGTACGTACCCAACATTCACCCCACAGACTTCACATCAGTCTGCATAGACCTCCAATTACAGACCCTCACAGACCCCCGCCCAACCCCGACTTCCTAATGACTTAATCCATAAATCCCCCTTCTGACCCCCAGCTCGATTATCAGGTCCCGAAACGTCAGTCCCAGCATAACCCCCGACAGCTGTCACAGATTAACATGGATCGAAGAACTCTCCCGCTTCCTGTCTGGGAGAGGGCGGCACGGGATCCCGAGCATGCGCCGAGTCCAGTAGAGCGATTTTGCCCACTTGGCGTCCTCGGTGGCTTTGTTCAGGAAGCAAGATGGCGACTCCCACGCGCTGTGTCTCCTAGTGGGAGTCGCCATATTGAGAGTCCTGTAGGGTCCGTACACGAGGAGGAATTCGGTTTATTCTTTTTTTTTTTTAAAGATTTTATTTATTATTTATTTGACAGACAGAGATCACAAGTAGGCAGAGAGGCAGACAGATAGAGAGAGAGGTGGAAGCAGGCTCCCTGCAGAGCAGAGAGCCCGGTGTGGGGCTCGATCCCAGGACACTGGGACCAAGACCTGAGCGGAAGGCAGAGGCTTTAACCCACTGAGCCACCCAGGTGCCCCGGAATTCGGTTTATTCTTAACCTGAGTTTGGACTGTGCCACCGTGGCAGCGAGGGGAGGAGGCAAGATGACGGAAAGTATTACACAAACCAATGAGAGCTTTAACAGGAGGATTGGGGAAGAAGTAGCAGTAGTACAGTCCTTTACTGGGAAAGAGGAATTTGGAATGGTACAATCCACTGGAGGCGATTCTACTTAAAAGTACTGATAATGGTTCAGCCCTACACCGGATGATTCCACTGTGGGACCGAGGGGGCACAACTGATGTTCCAGGGAGCGAAGGGGTGTTATAAACCGCTAATTATGCTAAAAACAATAAGAAGGAATCCGCCTAAGGGAAATTACAACCACAGTAATATGTTGCAGGGACCGACTGATGAAAAAAGGAAAATTGATACAGGAAAGAGGAGACTGAGTCACAAAATAATGGAGAATCTGAGAAACAGAATGGAGGGAGACTAAGGGACAAAAGAGGAGAGAGAGGGGGAATGAGAGTAAGAGACCAAGGTCTGAGACTAGGAGATAATGAAGGTAAGGGGGACACTGAAAAAGAAAACTGAAACGAGTGGGAGAGAGAGACGGGGGAAGGGTGACTGACCGTCCAGGTTTGTCTGGAATGTCCCAGGAAATCCTTCGTCTGTACTGAAAAGGTCCAGGTTTGAGGAGATCGGTGGGAAAAGTTGAGGCAAAGTGTGAAACCTGTAAAGTGAATCAAAAAGTAAGGCGGTGAGCAACACTGTTTTTAAACTCAAGTGGATAAGGCACAGATTTTGGGCCTTTCTTAGTCGCTGTAGCCCCCCCCCCCCCCGCCCCCCACCCCGGCCGGTTTCTAATGTTGGCAACCATGACTGTGGTTTGCAGTAATGAATTACCTATCCATCGTTGCATCACTCAGGAGTGATGCGTTTTAAGTATGTAACTTAAATGCATGGCACTCATAAGCATTTACAGTCTTTGGCTTTGTGGATTAACTGTTGTGCTTTGTACGGACATAGCTCTAGTTTAGTTCTTAATATTGTAAATGTTGTGATCGTGTTTTCTAAGAGTTCAGAAATGAAAATGAGAATTACAGTACCAATGACAGCATGACCCATACATCACCAAAAAAAGCCTCTTATTTTAATGACAGATATAAAGATACATCGACACCTGGATTACAGAGGTAAATAAACAGCAAATTGCCTAATATGTAAAAGAGAATTCAGGCTTGGACATAGTGGTGAAGGGGCAGTGAAAGCACATATAACACTAAAACAAATCTAGGATGACAGGCAATTACTTCTAAATAAATAAAAAGGTTTTTGTCTCCCCAAAAGACATAGATAATGAGTTGAAAATAGTGATTGCCCAATTATATTAGACAGCATAAACATGTATTATTGTATAGTTTTATTCACTGATATATAAAACTGAATAACATTACATTTCCAAACTCAAATGTTGCAGCTAGAATGGCCTGTGGACACACAAAAGGAGAAATTTTGGTAACAGATGTGTTGGCCCCTTACAGTGTAGAGCCAATCCTGCTTTCAACAGTATGTCAGATGATACATCAAATCAGGACAAGAAAAAAAATCCCCTAGCTCTTCACTCTTGGACTGAAAAGTGGAGGTCAAACTATCATCTTCATTTTAAAAAGATTTTCATGAAACTAAAGACAATATAAAATTGTTGGTATCTTGTCCAATTGTAAGCTAGGCTTTGCTCATCTATAAAAAATGTTCAGCAGACACTGCAAATGTAAATCTAGGCCAGTTCAATTCACTCTATAAATTTATCAAAGAAAATGAAAACATCTTATGTGCTGAGACAGCATATAGTTGGAGATAACATATGGCTGGAGCATTTTTTCCCCCATCCATTAATTTAATCTATTTACATTAAAGTGACTACTATTAAGAATTTATGTCATTTTGCTATTTGTTTCTATGTGTCTTACTATATTTGTGCCTCAATTCCCTCAATACTGCCTTCTTTTTATTTTTTTTACTGTATACTATTTTTATTCCCTGCTTATTTTTTCTTTGAATATGTCTTATTTAGTATTTAGTAATTATTATGGTTATAATTAACATCCTAAATGTATAACAAACTACTTTGAATCATTACCAACGTAATTTTAACAGCACACAAAGCACTGACCCTTTACAACTCTGCCCTCCCCTTTCATCTTTATGATATTATTGTAGACAAAACTAACATAAGGTCAGAAGTTGTTACAAGAGACAAAAGGTCTTTATATATTGACAAAAGGGTCAATCTATCAAGAAGATTAACAATTATAAATCTTTATGTGCTAAAAAAGAAAGACCAAAAATATTGAGGCAAATAATGACATTATTAAAGGGAGAAATGCACAGTTCTATAACAGTGGGAGACTTCAGCATCCCACTTTGCATAATGGATTGAACATAGAGACATAAAATCAGTAAGGAAATAAAGAACTTGATTAAAACTTAAACTAGCCCTAAGTGACATATAGGACACTATAGCCAACAATAGCAGAATACCAATTTTTTCAAGTTCACATGGAACATACTTCAGGATGTACCATATTTTAGGCTACAAAACAAGTATCAGTACATTTTAAAACACTGACATTGGGGCCCCTGGGTGGCTCAGTGGGTTAAGCTTCTGCCTTCAGCTCAGGTCATGATCCCAGGGTCCTGAGATCGAGCCCCGCATCGGGTTCTCTGCTCAGTGGTGAGCCTGCTTCCTCCTCCCTCTCTGCCTGTCTCTCTGCCTACTTGTGATCTCTGTCTGTCAAATAAATAAATAAAATCTTTTGAAAAAAAATAAAACACTGACATCATATATATTATGTTCTCCAACCCCAAGGGAATGAAATTGGAAATTTATGAGAAGAAAAGCTGGAAAGTCGACAAATATGTAGACACTAAACAGGACGCTCTTAAACAAGCAATGGGTAAACTAAGAAATCACAAGGTAAATTTAAAAATACTTGGAGACATGGGGCACCTGGGTGGCTCAGTGGGTTAGGGCCTCTGCCTTCGGCTCAGGTCATGGTCCCGGTGTCCTGGGATCGAGCCCCACATCGGGCTCTGTGCTCTGCAGGGAGCCTGCTTCCACCTCTCTCTCTATCTGTCTGCCTCTCTGCCTACTTGTGATCTCTGTCTGTCAAATAAATAAATAAAATCTTTAAAAAAAAATAAATAAAAAATAATAAAAAATAATAAAAATACTTGGAGACAAATGAAATAAACACACCATGCCAAACTTATGGGATACAGCAAAGGCAGTGTATGGATGCCAAGTTTGGAGTTGTAAATGCCTCCATTAAAAAAAGAGAGAGAGAGACGGGCGCCTGGGTGGCTCAGCGGGTTAAGCTGCTGCCTTCGGCTCAGGTCATGATCTCAGGGTCCTGGGATCGAGTCCCGCATCGGGCTCTCTGCTCAGCAGGGAGCCTGCTTCCCTCTCTCTCTCTGCTTGCCTCTCTGTCTACTTGTGATCTCTGTCTGTCAAATAAATAAATAAAATCTTTAAAAAAAAAAGAGAGAGAGAGAGAAGCAATACTGCAAGCAATTACCTCACTTTACAACTTAAGTAACTAGAAAGACATGAAAACTAAACCCTGAGCTAGCAGAAGGAAGGAGATAATAAAGATTTGAGTGGAAATAACAAAATAGAGAACAAAAACAATGGAAATCATCAACAAAACCAAAAGTTGGTTCTTTGAAAGATCAACAACATTCA